TGTGTGTATATATATATGTATATGTGTGTATATATATATGTATATGTGTGTATATATATATGTATGTGTGTATATATATATATATGTGTGTATATGTGTGTGTGTGTGTGTATATATATATATATATATGTGTGTGTGTGTGTCTATGTGTGTTAGGGCTGCACTGAATCTACGGAGTAAAACAAGAATATTTCCATCGGGGGTGCAATTAATCATCACTTTCATAGTTAATACATCTGTTGATTATATTTTTAAGAAATATAATAAAATGGTTTAGTGTATGAAATGTCAGAAAATAGAGAAAACGGTTCCCAGAGCCCAAAGTGATGCCTTTAAATGGCTTTACTTTTGAAATAAACAGTCGAAAAACTTAAATTTACAATGATATAAAACAGACAGTTGTTGTTTTGCCGTGTTTTCTTGATAAATAACTTTATTGTCCGATTGTTTGAAAGTTAATTTCAGCTTGATGTAACTATAAACATGAGGCATCTTGGGTGTTAATACATCACTCAGTCCTCAAAGCGTTGAAACATCAGATGCAGATTTTATCTGATGCTGTCATGCAGTGTGGAGAAAAAATTAAGAAACAGTCTCTTTAGAGGACTTTTAAGGGCAAAACCAGCATGCTGTGAGGTACTCCTCGCACTATTTGATACCAGCAGTTGAGTGCACTTTCCATCAGGGCCGCAATTAATTATCATTTTCATGATTAATTAATCTGCGGAAGATATTTATGATGAATAGATTGAAGCGTTTAGTGTATAAAATGTCAGAAAATAGTAAAAAAACGTTCCCAGAGCCCAAAGTAATGTCTTTAAATCACTTCACTTCTGTAATAAACAGTCCAAAACCCCCAAAATATAGAATTTACATGAATACCTCAGTTGTCAGATTGTTTAAACATTAATTTCAGCTTCATGTAACGACAGAAACAAGACGTCTTGGGTTTTAATATGTCCCTCTATCCTCAAATAGCTGTGTTGAAGGTCTGAAACAAGCCGATTTAGAATTTATCTTCGGGATGCTGTCATGCAGCGTGGAGGAGAAAACAAAACAGCCTCTTAAGGGGAATTTTAAGGGCAAAAACCAGCTGCTGTGAAGTACCCCTCGCACCATTTGATACCAGCGTCGGTGTGCACTTTAATGCGTTTTAATGAGCGTAGAGGACTGCAAGCGATGTGTCAATGCTGCTGAAGATTGTAGTGCTCTTGGGCAAGAAACACTGATAGTCTGTGAGGGGGGGGGGGGGAGGAGAGGAGAGAAAAGGGCAGTGAACGGAGTCATGTGAGCCAAATTAGCCCAGCTTGTTGTTTACGCAATGTATGTTTGCTTCAGCCACTGTGGGACGTCAGGGGTGTGTGTGTGTGAATGGGGTGGGGGGGGGGGGGGGGGGGGGGGGGGGGGACTGTCACTGCCTTCGTAGCCTCACAGTTCTGTAAATACACTCGGCTCAAACAGCAGCTTGAGCATCGTCTGTGTTTTCATCTCCTCTGGATTTAGAGTTTCTCATCAGAGGATTCTTGGACATTTTCTCTCTCCTCCATCTCAGGATGTGTTTCTCGTCTGATCCCACATTGAGGACATTTTTCTGCTCTTTTTTCGGGAGTGGTTTTGGGAGAGTTGTCAGAGGAATGGCCGTGTGACGGCAGCGAGTCACGGCGTTAATTGCCGGGTTGATGGAAGTGGGTGGAAGTCCACGAGTGAGTCATCGGTGTTTCACCACATGACCTCCTGCAGGACAACCACCAGGCAAGTGGGTCTGTTGTTGTGTGAAGATGATCATTTTTCACATATTTCTGTGCAGATTATTGAGAAATAAGTCGGCTCTGGGTGATATGTTTGTGATTAAACGTGGGCCCTTTTTTCATCTTTAAGCCTTGAAATTACAAGATATATTCTCTGTAATTTACCTTTTGATGGATTATAGGATTACGATACAACCCCAAGACAAATAGTTTCCAAAGCGTCTTATTTTTAAAACTTTAATGACGTCGTATACACACAGCGGTTAAGACCTATAACATAATACTGTGTTTCAACTTGAACTGAAATGATTGGTCGGCTAATCATTTCGTTGACTGGCAGAAAAGTCAGCGGGAACTATTTTGATAATCGATTTTTATGCAAAACTTCTCGTTTTCTGTTTTGTATCATTTTGAACTGAACGTCTTTGGGTTTTGGATCGTTGATCGGACAAAACAAGCTCTAGATGAGTGTTTCCAAACCTGGGGGTCGGGGCCCCTCAAATGGGTCGTAAGATACATCTGTGGGGTCGCGAGCTGTTGAATAAATCAGGAAAGAAGAAAAACATTGAGAGATACGCTGAATGAGTATATATTACTAGAGAGGGGAATGGCGAATCGCTGTGTTGTCTCTGTGAATATCGAGTCCTCTTATCGGTGCTTTCCATCAGTTTTGCATGAACAGTGACGCTGCGCCATACGCACGTTGTATCATGTTCTGTTTTTAGAGAGAAAACAACGTGGAAGCATTTCACAAGAGCAGACGACAGCGGATTACAGTTGTAATATTTGCAAAAATGAAAATTCATCCTAAGATATAAATACTATCAATATGCTGAAGCATTTGTAAACACATCATGCCCTCAGAGTGCAGGAATGTTGCGTTTTTGAGACTCTACGAGCGAATAATAATAATGGAATCAATAACATCTTATTATTCCCGTCTTTATATCCCAGATTACACAGCAAAGAAACACAAACACAAATTCAATGAATGAGGCGAAGGTTTGAACCGTCGTCCTGTAACTTTATAGGTAACGAGACGTCTCATTTGGCTCAGCGGGTTATTGATTAATTGATTGATTGATCAGATCGTATGTTTGCTTCACGGTGATTCATCAAAGTCGGAGAGTGTTGGTGAGCCGAAGAGGACGCCACTTCATTTATTTTTTTTCACACCAAAAATGTAGAGAACTGGAAAAGAATCGTACGGAAGTCAAAAGTTATCTTTACACTGCAGACAAAAAAAGAAAACATCACAAGAGTTCATATTTATAAACTATCTTTGTTTTTTTTAAGACCCGTTTTGAAGAAGAAACATTTGCTAATTGATGCATTAATTAGCAGAACTAATGACCTCATTAGTGAAACTGATTGTGCTTAATACATCACGGTGGTTATGGCCTAACATTAGGAAGCCTCTCTTGTATATAAATACACATATTTACTGTATGTTTCCTCTTTCACCTTCCATACTGAGCTACTTCTGTTTCATTCTCTCGCTCCTGAATAAATATCTCCAAGTCGCACTAATTTGCCGGCCTGTTGTCTCGCTCGTGTCGTTCCGGTTCTTCTGCTTTGTTTGACTCTGATTGGTTATCTGATGCAGTTGTTGTTGTTTTTTGCTGTGGTATGCAAATCCAGGCGGGCTGGCAGCCAATATGCATAACCTGATATTACAGAAGACTGAAGAGAGGCAGAGGTCGGTCTGCAATTAGACACAATAGCAGGCTTTCCACTTGGCTTTAATTCTGCTTTAACATTAGTTTGAGTGTGGAGAAGTGCCAGATCTTTGTTCTCGTTTCTTTTCTTACGCTTTGCTTTGGCTGCTAAGTGTTTCTGCTCTGGACTTCCCCAGAGATCAGCTGTCTTTTCCTCGGATCTCGCACGTTGGTTAAGTTAATATCTCTTGAGGTTCTTCGGTTCATGCTAACGATCCACTTCTGTTTATTCTAAGGGAGCTGGAAATGCAAAGTGTCTTTATTTTTCTAAGGAAACTCTTACAAAATATCGTGGGTGTTTATTTTAGCAAATGTCAAAGCGTTTATCAACTTCCTTTGGTTTTACTCTCTGTTGTGAGACTGTAAGGGGAGTTTCTCCTCAAAATGTCATGGATTGTTTTGTGAACAATAGACACTATTTGATAAATCAGCAGCACATTAATTAACTGCATTCATCCACAGCTGCGAGGGAAAGTGAGAGATGCAGTGAGGGAACAACCGACACGCCTCGGCTCAAAGGTTAACAGGAAGCGGAGGTGCAGGATGCAGTCTCTCGGCAAGGAGCAGCCGTTGGCCCTGGCTGCAGTGATGTCACACTATCCGACCAATGGGAAAGAAGAGGAGGTGACCACAGGTGAGGAAGCCCTGGAGCTGTGTCGCTACCCTGAATGTGGCCGGGTCGGTTCCGCCCTCATCAGATCAACAGATAATGGAGGAATTCTGGAAACATTCTTTATTTACCGATAAATTCACCGTCATTCTGTTCGGTCTCTTGTGGATTTATACTTTCTAAGTTTGCAGTAAGGCTTTTATTATTAAACTATCAGGAGTTATTGTTGTACACTAATAGGAAGTACTAAAAACAATAGGATATAAATATCCATTAATTCATGTACATACATAATTGCAGGCTTCATCATCCCGACTGGTTGTTCTTCATATTTTCATACTTTAACCAGTATGACGGGTATTCAATCGCGTTCGCTGTGGTAGGGGTGTCGACATATGTGACGGTAACTGGGATATTTAAAATTTTGATATGTTAATAATACACATGTGATAATATGGTGGGAGTAATCCAGCACTTCTTAAATCCTTTTATATGTACAGTTATGGTTACAGACCCTCTCTACCTCCCTTCAGTCGTATTTTAACGGTTATTTATATATATATTAAAAAAGCGACAAAACACACAATAAACACGGTTGAAGAAGAACTTGACAGATGGATTTTCTATTTTTTTTTCCAAATTTTACATAGATATTGAGATAATATCGCTGTCGTGAATACCTTGTATAGTGACAGCCTTAAAAAAGACCTTTGACAGTCTTTGTGCTTCCTGCAGAAACCCTGAATCTGCACATCATGAAGATAAACTTGCTTTTGATGCTGAAGAAAAAACCTGAATTTGTTGATTATGAAGCAAGATGATTGTAAAGTAATGTTTTTAATAAATCCAGCAGTAAGGGTGTGTTTTTTGATTTGTTAACAAGTGTGTGTTCACTCCCCCGTCATTAGCCAGAGCAGGTTCAGTCCCACTCTCCTCACACTGAGGAGTCTCCAGAGACACACACACAGAAACATGACACATTATACCTCAGGTGTATCAGTGTCCCTGAAGTGAAGTGAAGGATTCTCACCTTCAGGAGAAACATCACTGGTCTACAGTACAAACACGTTCTCTGATCGTTCCCTCCACATTTACATCGCCACCCACATGCTCTCCCATAAACCACATGCCTCAGGACAAGAGAGCTAAAAGAGTGTTTCTATTGACTGACTGCTCGTTCATTCCGATGCAGATTCCATGAAGGAGGAGGAGGAGGCGGAGTTTAACTGGGAGGAGTACATGGAGGAGACGGGAGCCAACGCCGTCCCTCACACCACCTTCAAACACGTGAGTGATCTCCACCTCGGCATTTGAATCCCATCCCTCAGTGATCCTTTAAACACAGCCTCGCAGATAAGTGCCATATGCAGAAATCCTTTAACGACATATTTGGGAGAGCCGGGCCTCGGCGTCACCTCCACCAATCGAGCGCTCTCATTGGCTCTGTTCCCTCACATGACGCACAAGTTGTTGGACGACCTGTGCCGGTTTTTTTTTAAAAACACAATTGAGGGTAATTACTGAGGCACAAAAAAAAGTAAGCAGCTTGGTGTGTGTGCTTTCGAGGAAGGTCACAAAACTAATAGTGACAAATGTAAAAAGGCAAATATTTGATATTTCCTTGCTCGTCTATGAGGCTGCACAATCAATAACTGCTTCTGAAGTCAATGCAAGTTCAGGTTATTAATTGTCATTTGCACAACAATTACAGAGAAGCAGTGAAAATCCTCTCAGATCTCTCAACAGTGCTCAAGAAAAATGTATTAAAAAAAAATACTAAAAATCCAAGACCTAAAATTAAGTGTTTTACAAAATAAAACATTTCCATATTACCCGATGAAATCAAATTATAACCGTATGATTTCCTCAATAGACGTCAAAAGTGCCAAAAATAATTTTTAAATGAGCCGTTTTAATGCTGGATTACACCAAAGTCTGTGGTACGAAGGGCTAAATGACTGTGAGTGTCAGTAAGTCTCTGTTCTACAGGAGGACGGATCTTTATCTCAGATATCTGAGACAGGAAACAAATTCTAGAGAAAACGGACTCATCAGACTCTAAAGAAATGAGAGTGGAAGACTCTTATGAAGAGTAAGCATGCTGCCATCAGCAACTGGGCGACCTGTTGAAGATGTCAAACTCACCTGTTTAATCTCTGCCTGCTGCTGTAAAGCTGTGAGAACCAAACTAAATCTCTGCATTTACACGTTTTATGTTCGTGGAAAGGTTCCTCTCAGTCTCTGATTGAGCTGATAGCTGCTGTGTGTTAACGAGACATGTGGGCGCAGAGTCACTCAAGTAAAGACTCAGATCATCTGTTTTTCCACTAATAGCTGTTGTTCTTTATGTGAAGTTCAGCAGAAATGACAGTGAATTTACTTTCCGACTGAATATTCATTCATTCATGATGGCCAGATTTGAATTGGACTCTTTTTTTTTTTTTACACTAAACATGCATAAATGAGGCTGTCAGACTCTGTGGAATTAGATTACTTTTCACTTTGAAGCTACACGAGAGGAAAACTGGACTCTGGACATTGACTTTTGAGAAATTTGACTTTTTTTTGTAGAAAAGCCGGTTTAGACTCAGCAAACTAAGATATCCAATAAAGAATAGATTTGGTGGCTAAAGTCTAAAGGTTTGGTAACGGCACCAGTACTGAGAGACACTTTGAGCTGCAGTGTCTTGAGTTGTATCTCTGCCAACTGGAGTGGTTGCTTATTATTCACCCGTAAACCACACTAACCAACAGGAAAGCTGCTAGTTTTAAGGTTTATAATAAACTGCTGCAGGGCCTTTTTTTAACAACATATCTGTTTAGGTATGTTAGTGTTTTTACACTGATCAAACATCAGGAATGTCAAATATTTGAAAGGAATGTAAAGAATCCCTAATTAATGGGTTTGCAGAAGACCGGGAACCAGTGATGGAATGTAACTCAAGTACTGTACAGAGTTCCAACTTTTAAGGTACTTGTACTTTACTTGAGTGTTTCCATCTTTCCATAATATTTGTCTGACAGCTTTAGTTGCCTTTCAGATGACAGTCTTTAAACCACGTATCTCCAGATACGTGGTTTAAAGACTGTCAGACGTCAGACGTGTTGATGTTGAATGTTTGTGATAAACTGAAGGATGTTGAAACAAATATTCTTCTACTTCTTCAGCTAAAATAAACTCTTTTAAAAAGCCTCGAGGATCAACTGGAAAATACATCGACACAAAGCTGAAAACGAGACCATCAGAGAGAAGATGGTCTGTTTAGTTATTCTTAATGCTCGTCATCGGGGCCACCGGGTCGGATTCTGGTGAAATCGGATGAACTCACGCAGGTTCACCAGAAACTCCTTCAGCTCAGACTCCAGACTGAACGGAGCAGATCGTCAGACCTTGCTGCGGTAAAATGAGAGTTTTTTTAAAGCGTCTCTGGTGCTCAGAAACACTACCACGTTAGTCCACAGGGGCCGCCAAAATCAACACAAATTGAAAGTTCCTTGTAGTAAATTTAGCTGATAATACTTTTACTTAAATAAGGTTTTGAATGCCTTTACTTGTAGGGGAGTATCCTCAGTGTGGTATTAGTACTTTTAACCTTAGACAAGGTTGTCAATACTTTCACGACTGGTGGGAATATTAAGTGTTTGTTTTTGGCCTTTTAGCATATAGTTAGAACATTTTCAGACATTTCAGCGTACACGTTTTGCTCACAAGCGGCCTGTTCCCAAACAACTACAAGGCTTTGCCTCCGTTAACGTGTTACATCACAGCAGAGGGCCAGATGGGCGACTGCAGTTGATCCTGGATGCGAAGTCTTTATCCGTCTCGACTGACTCTGTGTTTTACCGAGCGGAGCAGCTGTCCGCCCCGGTGAGACGTGTCTGCTGGTGAATCAAGACTTAAAGGAGCGTGTCGGCGTTTCAGATACTTACATCACTCGGAGCGATGAATGGTAATAAGGGCGAGATTAAGAATACGTGGGGTTTTTGTTTTTTTTTTACGAGCGAGCAGCCGATGTCGGACAAACTGTCTGTGTGGTGATTTTGAGCGGGAGAGGTCTCCTGGGAAGCTAAATTGCCTCGTTGTTAAGTGGATTGAGTCACTGGGAAACGGACCATGAATTCCCCAGAAAAAAATGTGATTCACTAAAGTGCAGCCCTCATTTCTCCCTCTCTCTCTCTCCCTCTCTGTGCCTGGACAAATTGAAACAGTGAATTCTCTTGGGCCTGTATATATATACACACACACACACACACAGTCACAGTGTTTATGGCCTCTTACATAAGCCAGTCAGAGTGATACAGCACGTTTGCATTGTTGTAGCAGGAAGTCACAGGGCCATTTGTATTGTGTTTATTTCTAAGATGTTGCTTCTTTTTTTTTTTTTTTTTTGTTCCATTCACTCGCGAGCGTTTGTGTTGAATGTTAACATCCTGTTGGGCTTCTCGAGAATTGTAAAGCAGCCTGTGGCTATGGTGGAAAACGCATTATGTTGTGGTGCATTCACGGACGTACAGATTTATCACTTTCTCATGAACGAGGACGGGGCTGAAGTGGAGTTTGATTATACCTGTTAATGAAATCTCTTCACTTTTTATCGAAAAATCCTGCTCATCAGTCACTCATCTGCTGCTAAATCTGGGGAATGTTCTGTTCTATTTATGACTATACTATTTGTTATGATTAGGGCTGCAACCACCAATTATATTCATCAATTAATCTCTTGATTGTTTTTTTTTTTCAATTAATTTGTTGAAGGAATACACAAAGACTCCTGTGTTACCTTGAATTCTTGAGTGAACAAAGTTTATGCAGATTTTTTTTAAATAGTGAGGTTTTAGCGGACATGTGTTTGGAAAGTAGTGAGCATACGACTGGATAAATGAGACTTGGATGACATTGGACGAGTTGTGTGAGAGTTCGTAAACTGACGTAGAGACTTTGTATAGTCTCTGGTAGCGGTAGTGACCTGTCAATCACTGTGTAGCCCCACCCTAAAGCATCCCCTGCTTTATGGTCTGTTTGACTCTAAATGGACCATAATGTACTAAATGAACATCATGCTGTATTGAAGAAGACTTGAAACTAGAGATTGAGACCATAAACTCATGTTTACAATGTTTACTGAGGTAATAAATCAAGAGAGAAGTAGAGTCATTTTCTCATAGACTTCTATACAACCAGAGGAGTCGCCCCCTGGTGGACACTAGAGAGAATGCAGCTTTAACACATGAAGCATTGACTTCACTTTTTAAGAGATTTCTTAATCATTCTACTTTAGTGATATTAAATGGCTACTCCAGCTATTTATTATGCATTTTCATTTAGTTGATGGATCACAAGATACAGATACAAATAAAAAGAAGCGGCTGAGAGATCCTGGATCCTACAATTCCCAAAATGCAACTCAATGGCGTCTTTGTGTCAGACGGTCGGTCGGAGCCTCAATGCCCTCATCTTGTAAAACAAGCTTTCATTTGTTGTTTTGAAAATCTCAACGTCGGGACAAGTTGACCCTGTTGACATCATCCGTACTATTTACAAAGCTCCTTTCAGAGACGCAGAAGACATAAAACAACAGTTGTCACAGGTTGTCTTTATGTTTTCACATAAACTGACCTTTTACGGGGGAGATAAGCGGAGTTCCCTTTTAGACTGAAGGTCTGTTTCCTATCATGTAAATATATATTCTGAGAGCACCAAGAGTCACGTCCAAAATATTGTCACATTAGAATAATGTCAGTGTTAAATCAATAATGTCACCCAGACTCTCCTTTTTAGTTTCTTAAGGACCCTGAAAACGTCTTTTTACTTTGGCAGAGAGTTGTGTGTTCATGCGGAACGCCATCGCTCAAAGTCTGAATCGGTTTGGTTATTTTGCAGGAGAGATTTTTTGTATTCTGGTTCACCTTTGACCTGCCATATGTACTCTAGTTGTGTGTCTTTCTTAGCATTGTAACTGACATCTGCTGAGTAAAAAGTTGTTATAACTTGTAGGAAAAACTACCAAACTGAGAGCCAGGTTGTGTTTCTTCTCAGGTGGAGATCAGCCTGCAGAGCAGCTTCCAGCCGGGCATGAAGCTGGAAGTGGCCAATAAGGGCAGCCCGGACTCGTACTGGGTCGCCACCATCATCACCACGTGCGGCCAGCTGCTGCTGCTGCGCTTCAGCGGCTACGGCGACGACCGCAAGGCCGACTTCTGGTGTGACGTCATGACGGCCGAGCTGCACCCGGTGGGCTGGTGCACCCAGAACAACAAGACCCTCATGCCCCCCGAAGGTAGGAAGAAACACTGTGACGCTCACGCATTCACCCGGACCCGGACAGGGTTTACTTTCCTATCATTGGTGTCTGTTGACATTGGGTTCAGAGATTTATTCAATTTTATTGAAGGGTTATTACTTTTAGATTTGGAGGGAATTTAATACAAATACCGGTATCGGAAATGCCTTTAATTAAGCCTAAAAATCTGCATCGGGTAACGGCAAGTATGTGAGTCTGTGCACCGATCAGATATAATTTAATTTATCAGCTACGCTACACAGGAACAATAACTTTCTGTCTGATCGGTACTGAGCATGTGCAACTCTCAACACAGATAAGAAAGGAGCTAGATTGCTAACTCGTTAGCTACTTCCATCATTGATTTCCGGACGCAAATCATGTTTTTAATTAGTGAAAGGTATTTTAGTTTCTTCATTTTTTCATTAAAGAGGGAGTTTTTTTTTGGAGGGGGGGCAAAGGATAGTTTGAGGAAAATATGGGATTTGGGGCTATATAAATAAAACTGAGGTTATTATTTTCGGAGGGGACATTTTATGTCTGCTCCGTAAGCTTCAGGGCACCCGGTTCAAAACATAAACATAAAAAGTCTTTAAAAAGAGTCTTTTATCCACAAGCCACATTTGTGGCTTGTGATGCACTTTGTCCGTGTTTCATGGTTGTTTTTTCTAACGCGTTTCCGTCCTGAATGTAAGAAAATCTTTGACATCAAAGGGTCAGCTAACGGTTGATTCTCTACATTAAATCTGTCAGCTTGACCTTAATGCTCACATGAACTGAGTGGAAAGACAAGTTTCCTTTTAAAGTGCTTTGATCGTCACGACGGCTCAACTGCCGTTTAAGACGACGAGTCGCCATCTTGATTCTCGTAGAGCGTCTTTCACACCTGAACTCCTTTTCCAAAACAAAGCGTCCTCCTTAACGTCTCCAGCAGCCCTTCTTGCTACTGCCCCTCTCACATTATCCGACACATTTCCACCTGCAGATAGATGACTCACCCTCCCCAGCCTCGTTCAGACCATTTATTTATTTTTTCCTCGACACTTTTCCCCGCTGACGGATGGTCGCGCGCCTCCGTTGTTGTGGAGACGACCTGGATATGTTTCCACCTGACTCGGGTGTCCTCGTCCTCACACCGGCAATTCTCGGCAGCAGGAGGTTCATAAAAATGACACTTCTCAGAGGATCATCTACCAAGCAGGGAAACAGCCGCGCTGCTTTAGCTCGCATTCAAACCTCCAAAGACGATGCGACTGAAGCGAGGCATCATTATTTTTATGATCGAGCAATCTGTCGATTACTTTCTCGATTAATATTCCATAAAAGTAAAAAAGTAAAAGAAATTGAAGACATTCGTCTTACTTGCAAAATTGAAGACCATGAAATGTTCTCATTAAAGGAGCCAGTGGATTTTAACGCCCGATTATCAAACAAGTCTAGACAGAAGAACAGCATATTTCAAATCACATATAGGTGCTAAATTTGTTATTAGCACTGTTAGCTGCTCGCCGCCTGCTCAGCTGCCTCCATGTTGAGAGCCGTGTGGAGTCAATCCCTCAATCACAGACATGCTTTTAATTTGAAATTCAGCCCCTTTTACAAGAAGCTGGAACCAATTAATTTCATGCATTTTCCTTTAGAAAATGACTGCAATTATTAAACTTATGTCAAAATAGTTGCCAATACATTTTCTGTGGATCCACTAATGGTTTAAGAATCGCATATTTAAAATCAAATCGGCCGAAAGAGTTCAGATTGTTAGGCTGTCCAACAGGACGGGTGTTTTAAATAGGTTTACATGAAGCAGAGATGACTAATGTTGCTTTACTTTGCGTCTCTGTTTTAAAAAAACTAAAACTCTTCATTGAGAATATTTTGTAGGCGTACAAAACACGTGTCAGAAATGTACTCTTGTGCATGTTTGAATAAAATCGATCGTATGTTTTACTCAAGTATATTTTTCAGTGTTACGTCAGCTTGAAGCTCATCAAGAAGCTGATGTAATTTTACGGTGGTAATTGAGTGGCCGCTGAGCTCAGCTACTATTAACCGTCTCTTCCTGTGTTTCTCAGAAAGCTCACATTTCCCCTTTTTTCTTTTAATAATAACGGACAGCTGACATCCGCATGTTTAATGATGCAAACTGAAGCATAAATCATGTAATGAATGCAGTTCTATATTCCCACTATGGAGGCTTCTGCAAAATACTGTCAAGTTGTGAATATGACAAAAACAAACATTAATTTCAAGGCTTTGCATCATGTGCACATTTCAATATGAGAGAAAAGAGTCTGTATTCCACCTGTGACACGGTTACCTGTTTTTTTTTGTTTCCTTTTTTGTTTCTCAGATAACACTTACCTAAGAAAAGGTAAGCAGCTCTAACAGTGCCTCTGACTAACTCGCCTCGCCTCACTAGTGGCTAACATGACATCAACACTGTGTTAGGGCTGACAGAGCTGCATGTACAGTGTGTGCTTCCTCCTCTTCCTCTTTTCGCCTCTCTGCAGGAAGTGACCTCACAGCTCAGTTGCCTTGCCTCCTCTTGCATGTGACTCCTTTCTAGCCGAGTGTGTCTTAGCAGAGTGATAACACGCACACACACACACACACTGCTGTTTGTGCCAAGCTGGGCTTGTGTGATAACTAGTGCAAAAAAAAAAAGAAAGGCAGCAGCTCAGCCAGAAATGTGCTGCTTTGATAAAGAGGCCTCTTCTCATGCGCAACAAAGGAACTGTGTCCTGTAACATGTCGCTAGATGTTGAGTCAAGTTAAGAAAAGGTCACAAGTTAAAGAACCGCTGTGTGTAAAACGTGCCGTTGGCAGATAGAATCAATACGCGGCGTTGCATACAGACGTCTAACGGCTGATTTCATGTCCAGTCTGTAATTATACACAGTCTCTGAAAACAACAACATCATCAGTTATTAAGCGTGCTTTGCTGAGACAAGTTTAAAATACACGTAGTCTTTAAAGTTTGTTATCGTGTCTTGTGGTCCTTCCGTGTATGGATGTGTGTGTTGGTGCGGTTAGAGATGTGAGGATATAGGATCTTTTTACGGCTTGTGACATTAGTGAAAATCATATAAAATATATATATATAGTGTGTAAACTCACTGAGATCAATGTAGTGTCTTCTTTAAATGGGGCCTCTTGGATTTGATAGTGTGATTAAACAAAGCAGCAACAGGTGTCGGGTGTCTCCGGCTTGAAGCCTGTCGCTCATAGTGTGAACGCAGTATTAGACCGTAGACCGGTATTGACCATTAAAAAATGGATCAATTAGGAGAGAGTTTTTAAATAATCCTGAGCTTTAAGAGCAGATTTTAAACTGTGATTGTTCCACCCTGAGATCGAGCGTCTGATTGGCCGCTCTGCTAAAAGCAGCAGCAGCAGCACAGTGATTTTAATTCCCTCGTGAGGTTTGCTTCTTTCTTCTCGCAGCTTTTTTTAACAAACCTGCAGGCCTCCCTCCTTTTTTTAATATGCATCTTACACTGACTGTTCTTTCCTCAAAGTTTAATACAAGATGCAAAACCTGAACTCAAATAAGTGTTTCAACTGGACAAACCGCATCTAACAAACGCACCTTAATCCCTCGTCAAACTCGCTTACTCCCTCATAAAACACACACACACACACACACACACACACACACACACACACACTCCCTCTCAGCTCCTCCACTTTAAACGCTACTTTCCTGCTAACCGAAGCGTTCACCAAAGCGTTTTGTTGCTCATCAAATCAGCGCTGGTATTAATCAGCGTCTCTGTTTGCAGGAGCATCGCATGAGTCTGCAGCGCTGCGAGCGCTTCTGTTGCGTAATTTGCTCTTTTTTTCTTTTTTTTTTAGAAATTAAAAACTCATTTGAACGACAGTGGAACAGGCTGAACTTTGTTTATTTTATTTTTACACCTCATCTTTAATGACTTCATGGCCCTGCTGCCATGTTATTATATACGTGGGAACTCGTTAAACATGTACAGGCTTCAGATTAAAATAATGAACCTGTGTTTGTGGTTTTATCACAAAGATTATATTGATATTTATTTGAGGATTAAAGGCAGATCTTGTAAGATAAGTCTTTTTCTTTATGAGCTTCTGGCAGGAAAACCAAAAAGTAACCAGAGAGTAAAAACTCAATTCATCCCACTACCTTACACACAGGCTCGTCTCGTGTGCACGTGCACGTATGCGTGCGTCCGCATGAGGCGTTCATCCATTCATGTTGAGAGCTTTTTAAAGCGGCATCACAAGTTTGGTCATGTGATGCGGTAGCTGCTTGCGGAACAGATCCCGACAGAGATAGTTTGCATAATGAATTCACCACACTGCTTCCTGCCAGAGCCTGCTGGAGATGATGCTCTGAGATAGACCCTCTGCTAGTGTGTGTGTGTGTGTGTGTGTGTGTGTGTGTGTGTGTAGTGTGGTGTTTTAAGAGTAAGGCTGCCTTCAGGCTGACATGTGGTGAGAGAAATACAAAGGGTTTAGCTTTAGCTTGGGTGTGACCCTTATGAAACATTTTGTCCTTTGTCACTTGATGTTGAAGCTGAATTCAAGCTTCATGCTGTAGCTTTCTTTTATTGTGAAGGAATTGATTGAGTGTTCGACTTTATGGCTCCACCGCGACAAGATAAGGAGAGCGCTTTGCTTCGGTTGTGTACCGCGAAGCAATCCTGATTTAGGGCTTAAACTAACGATTGTTTCGTTATCGATTAAACCGATGATTCTTTTATTGATGTGGTCTATAAAATGTCAGAAAATGAAAGCTTCAAATTGTTTGTTCTGCCCACTAACAACCTAAATAATCAGATTGCCATCACATAAACTGGATTGAGGCCTGTCACAATAATCTGTTTTGTAGGACGACTTTTTTATGCCACTGATGTAATGATTGTATAACAGTATAATGATGCAAGAACAACCTTTCAGGGAGAGAATAACTTGGACATTGGAATCAGAATGTGAAAAATATCCTAAATAAACAAATCAATAAAACCACACAACCAAAACAAAAGATAAAATGGATTCTCCGGCTTTGTTAACAAAACTCTCACTTATATAAATATTAAATATTTGGCACAGGTGTGGAGAGAGTCGTTCATTCAACCGATACCCTGCCAATCGAGTTTCTCAACGGTTTGTGCACAGCAGCAGCACATTAGTGAGATGTAAGTATTTGATGTAGTATTACTACTTTTACTCAAAATGACTTGGAGGAGCTTTCAAGTAGGCGGCCCCTGTGGACAAAAGTGGTAGTGTCCCCCCCCGTCTCCCCCCGCTGGAGTCTGAGCTGGAGGAGTTTCTGGTGAACCTGCATGATTTCATGTTTTTGCACCAGAATTTGACCCGGTGGCTCCGATCCGATGGTCTGGATTACTTCTAAAGAGACGGTTTCAGAACCAGTTAAAAGTTCCTAACAGTAACTTTAAGTCAAAGATCTTTGTACTTCTTCCACCAGAGCAGGTTTTTCATAAATAGAGACACAATGATAATGCCTTCACACACACACACATCTTTGCAGTATGGGCTCTGTTCCTGTGGGCCTCTTTAGCACTCACCGCAAACACACATTACTTGAGTAATTCATATTTACACAAATTGCTCCAACATCCCCTGCCCTCTCGTGAAGAGGGCGGTAAAATACATTAACAACACGGCGTCTGAAACCGTCCAGGCGTTATTCGGCCACACACACACACACACACACAACTCTCTCAATAAACACACACATTGCACGCTGCGTGACATTTCATGAACGGGCCGCGTGCTGCAGAGATTAAGCTCGTGGCCTATTTGGAGAAAAAAAAGGCCGTCGGTTAAAATGGAAGGAGGTAATTGTTTGAATTGACTCGGCTTTCTACCCTTTGTGCGCTCATCTCCACGCCGGCGCTTAATGACTGGATAAGACGGAGAGGGAATCGGGCGTAATTTGCTCTCATTAACTCTGATTAGAATCTGTTGCACTGCTGTGATCGCTGCAACAAAAAAAAAAACAGACGATTTTTCTTCCTTAATTAAAACATTGATTATCTAAAGTAAAGCTTTTAAATAACCCCTGAGCACAGACGGGTTCACAGAGAGAAAGGAGCGGGAGCACAATATGCAAATATCAGGTTCCATGCATGTATTTTTGTTTATTTAATGCCAGACATTTGCATGAGGACTTCAGCCAGCTTTGGTGCAGCCTGGGAGGAGGAGGGGGAGAAACGTGGGGGGAGGTTAGCCCAGCGAGAGTGGAGCGGTATGAGGAGGGAAGGGGGGGGCAGGGATGTTTTCAGGAGCTCTTCCCTCAAGGTTAATTATGCACTTATTGTTATGTGAAAGTCAGGCTCTCACCTCTGCTGCCTTTGGGATGGAAATAAAGAAAAATAGATCATTATTTATATAAAAAAAAACTGAATAATGAAACTGCAAGCAGGGGGAGGGGAAAAAGGGGGAGGAGGGGGAGAAAGAGAGTGAGGGAAGTGGAAGTTTGCATGTTTTAGCTTCTGCTTCCACCGTTGGGCTGAGCTCTCTAAATGGCTTCATGAGTAATCTGCATAGGATCTGTAAAAATAGTTTATCTATTTCTGCACACCCGAGATCAACACTGTGCGTGTGTGTGCGTGTGTGTGTGTGTACTGTGTGCTCTTACAAAGTCCAGCAGCAGCAGCAGCAAGGAAAGAAAATAGTCTCACAGAAAAAACTACTATTATTAAACAGGCGTACGGAGAGCGACGAGGCCACAGAGACGCTCACGTTAACTTCACGGGAAAACAGATTTATTTACCCCCAAAAAAAATCCTCAGTTTTGATAAAAGGGAGGACCTCTGGAGTCCGGAGCCACGAGATGATTCATTGATTTGATCTCATTAGTCAATTATGTATTTTAAAATCTGGAGCAGCCTCTGTGGAGCGAACTGTGGGTTTTATTTCCTCAAATCTCTGATGTATTATAATAACTATAATAAGAAAGTTTCAATCGCTTCTTTAGAACCGCTGAAAAGGCTCGATCTTCTGAGGAAACATTTCTTTCTTAAACACTCGTCTTCTTTCACAGGACCGAGAAAACATAAAGGACAGTTACGCATCTTAAAAACTAAAACAGATATATGAAAAAAGAAGCTGCGTGTTTCTACTCATACAGGACTAGTTTGAAGATTTGTCCGAAATGTGCATATTTAATAAACATTAAGTTAATGATTAAAGTTGTAGGAACTTTAAAAATGAAATTATAATTTGCTCTATTTGTTTACTATTTATTTTATTCATTATTCTTGTTTTCTTATTATTTGTTATATGTTTGAAATAAATCGATCTCACCTAAATTCGGTCTTTCGCCCGGTGAGCTAAACTCTAGTTTATACTTTTCACCAAAGATTTGAAAATCCCCCCAAAACAGATCGTGCACGATAACCACCGTGTTCATTCTCAAAGACTGATTTGCTCTCTTGGCTCTTTACATTGGAAGAAGAACAACAAACAACCCAGAAGCTCTTGTGATCATCCGCATGTTTCAGTGTATCGACTCTGTTTCGCTTTTGCTTCATCTTGATGCTAATCGCTGCTGCAGGGAACGTCGGCTCACACAGCGCGTTGTAGTCATTCTGGAGCCGTGACTCATTTGGCAACGTTTCACTGACTCCCAACAAGTGTCTGACTTTGTGGAGGTTTTTTATTTTGTTTTTGTAATTTGTGTGTGTGTGTGTGTAAATGAGTAACAGGAAGAACATGCAGCGCTGTAAAGGCCACTCAGCATCTTCCTTGGAATGTCAGCTCTGTATTTTGGGGGAGGGGATAAACCGGAGGCTGACATCACGAACGCAGGAATTATATAACACTGTTGCACTCTGGGAAACGGGAATCAGACACAAAAAAACACATAACGGCCCCATGAAAACGTGCTGGAAGTTGACTTTCTTAGCTCTGGTCCACCTGGTGTGTGTTTGCATTTTATATTGGTAGTTTGCTGGAATTACACTCAACTTAAAGGGACAGTTCACCCCAAAAACTCTAAAACTGTTTCCTCTTACCTGTGGCGTTTTTCAGTCTAGATTGTTTTGGTGCGAGTTGCTGAGTTTTGGAGATATCGTCCGTAGAGATGTCTGTCTTTTATTGTAACTATGTTCTTTCATCAAGGTCTGCGGACACATAGGCCCCGTAAACACCGAGACGCGTTGCAACAAGGCCCGGCCGCTTCAAAAAGCTGATGAGCCGGGGGGGGGGGGGTTGCTCCATTGTTGAATGACGAGGAAGGGAAAAATGATATAGTCAGCGTATTTAAAAAACGCTTATAGCAATGTCCTTTTTTACCACATCAACCGGCATCAAAACAGGAAATCAGTCAGTTGCTTGATTTTAAAAAATTTAGAATATTTTAACTTTAATATGCGTCTAAAAACACTTTAAAAAGGCGACCCGCGGCTTTGTATTATTTAGTTTTTTTTATTTCCCCCAATTTAACGCTTGAGACTGAATGTTTCTTTCTTTTGTGTGTCTGACTTTAAGTTTGTCGCGGATTGATTCAAACCACAGAATACGTACCAACATTAGACAAAGAGTAGACCTCTTCTCAGGGCAAAAAACTTCTCTCTTTGTAATTGTTTTTGTCTGCCACCATGTGTGCATTGCTATAAGAAAGCAAGCTATTCTCACTCTGCTGTTGCGCCTGTTAAGGCCAGTTTATTAGGTACAAGTTGATTCAACTGTGTGATCATTTCTGGAGGATGTTTCAGTGAAGTGACTTCATTTCCCTTCATGTCTTCACCGAGCTACAAACTGACGAACCAGCCAGAAAGCGTAATACCGCATTGGGGATTTTTAGGGGAAAGCCCCGACATGAATACACGTTTAATACATTTTAAATTAGTCATCTATTGTCTATCTGGTAAACTTAGTATTTCCCTCAAAATTCATATTATTTTAGCAATATTAAAGATTTTAGTGCTTTCTTTCCTGTTTGTGCCCCAGATCTGTTTCTTTGTGTCTGAATCTGACGTTTACATTTCTGATTCTGGCTTCTTTCATACGTGGACTTAAACCTGACGCGTATCTAATCAGTGGCAGTGTGACCTCCTCTGTTCATTCTGAATTCATGCACCATTTTTTCGCTCTCAGACGAAGTTACAGGTCACCCGCTAACATTCGACACCTTAAACTCTGGATGAAACATCTCTGCACAGAGAATAGCCACCAATCAAAAGTTTTCACTTTGTTTTGCCGACTTACCTTTTTTATTGTATTCTCAAACTTGCATCTGTCAATCTTCACATTAACATGTAAATGTCACCGCTCAACACGACATTAATCAGTGTTTTTCATTGTGATGTGTTTACATCTGCAGAAACCTTCCAGATGCAAGTCTTAAAAAGAATATCTGATCTCAGCCATAAATCAGAGCGTTAATGTTTTGCAGCGTGAATAAAGCCGTCAAAGCTTTTCTAGGGAAGATAAATGAATACCTGTGGGGGGGTTCTCTCACTTCTTTTGCATAAAAATTAGACACTTATTGTTAAAATACTTCACATGTGCAGTTTTAATTAACACAATCGATATTTCCCTTTTAAAAAAGTAGAAATGCTGTGTGTTTGCAGGAACATGCATGCACTGACTCATGCATGCTGTTCTCTGGTGACTACACTTAACAGTTCAATGTAGTGGCTCACCATCAGTTATTCACCATGACACAACAGTTTGCTCTCTTTCCACTCACTCTGATTGTTTGTGTGTTTCTTTTTTGTCTCTTCGCAGCCATCAAGGAGAAATACAGCGACTGGACAGAGTTCCTGGTTCAGGACCTGACCGGCGCCCGGACGGCACCGGCCAACCTGCTGGAGGGGGTGAGTGGGTTCCCATTGAGAACATTACATGAGGGGGGGGGGGCTTTTTCGGAAGAATTTACACAACGTATATATTACATTTTTAGTTCCTTGAAATATGAAACACTTACTGGTTTTGATACAAATTTAAAAACAAACGTCCTGGATGTGATCTCTCGAAGAAGAGTAAGGACCCTGCTTTGTTTTGGGTCGTTTGTTGCATGATGGGTAATGACACGAGTTGACCCCTCAGAGTGAGATGAGAAGATTGATGCCGCTCTCATGTCTGGACAGTAAACATGTATCTGGAGCCAGAAGGCCGCTGCCGGCTGCAGCCTGATTTATGACAGATATGAGAGTGACATCAATCTTCTCATCTCACCCTCGGCATCAAAGCCCATAAGTGTATTTCTCAGAATGTCAAATGATTGTTTTGTTTTTTAACTGGAAGAAAAAACACAAAAAGGATACCACGCACACTTTAAAGAAAAGATCAGCCACGCAAAAAGAAAGCTCTTAGAAACGGAGCAAAGACGATCTTCTTTGAGTACTTCAATTTTAATGGTTTTTTGCATCTTCAATACATCAACTTCCTCTTGTATTACTTATTTCACAAGTGTAACCGTTTGACTCAACCACTAAACCACCGAGAGGACCTAAAACCCGTCTCTGTGCTTCTGTCTCAGCCTCTGAGAGGTAAAAACACCGTGGATCTGATCGTCGAGGGCTCGGTTCTGGAGCTCCGGGACGTCTCGGGCCCGTTCCTCTACTGGCCGGTCCGAGTCGTCCAGAACGTGGGAGGGAGGCTCCGTCTGCGCTACGCCGGCCTCTCTGACGACCACCAGGCTCAGGACACCTGGCTGTTCTACCTGGACGTCAGGCTCCGCCCCCTCGGCTGGGCTATGGAGAACCGTCTCACTTTAGAACCGCCCATAGGTGATAATCTGTCATTTTCCCGCCGAGGAACTTTGTTTTCAGTGTTAATAAGAAATGTAATGAGCCATTTTTCATTGTTTGGCTCTTTAAATGTTGTAAAGTTTAAATCAGGGCTCTTTTCACTGTCAACTAATCTGCTTTTTCTTTTCTTGATTAATTTCTTAATAGTTTTGATAAATTGTCAAAAACGATTTCCCAAAAATCAAGGAGGTGTCTTCAAATGGCGTGTTTTGTCACAGATAATGTAATTTATTCTGTCAAACAATGTTTCTTTGTAAGTTTAAAGATATTTAAGTGGGAATTTAAAGGGAAAATCAGGAGTTAAACGCAGTATAAAGTCATTAAACATCAACAGTTGTCGTTAAAATCCTTTTAATTAAATTAGTTTCGATCCGTAACAATTGATGACAGAAGCTGCTGTAAATTAAAAGGATCACTGACTTTATGTATTTTAGTTTGAACGTTTCACATCGTCTCTCGGCTCCTCAGGGTTCAGGTCTCTGAAGAGCGCCCCCGACTGGCAGGAGGCTCTGGAGGACGCTCGACTCGACGGACAGAAGAACCCGCTGCCGCTGGAGGTGTTCAAGGTGAGTCACACGCACACCTGCTCTTCACACACTGTGTGTGTGTGTGTGTGTGTGTGTGTGTGTTGGCTCAGAGCCAGACTGCAGGACTACCTGGTTGAGATGAGCTTTGTTTGACTGCTGCTGATTTATGATATGGAACTGGGATAATAAACGGTAACGCAATATTTCCTAATTATTTACTGGCAAGTTTACACAATTGTGTAATTTGGCACCAATTAGGTTTAAATAGATCTTTTTATCATTGTTTTTCCCTCCAAGTTAAATGGACATTTGTATTCATTTGTTATTGGGAAGTTTAATTGTTTAAATCGTTTACTTGCATGAAGATACATTTCCCGTTTATGCATGTTCAGCGAACTTAGAGAGAGTTAAAACAAGTATATTGTCTTTTTCCCATTATTACCACCAAATGACATTGTTAACTTCAGGAGAAATTATTAGGAAGTTTAAAATATGAGAAACATTTGTGACCAAAACACGGTTAAACTCATTCACACTCACAAATACGGAGTGAAACAGCAAAAATTTACAGCACAACCTGAAGCCTCTCAGATGAAAAGATACGATTTGACTGACTTCAAAGGCAGTGTTTGTTTTCATTTTAAGTAATGGTCTCCCCTAGTTTCCCTCCGGCATACAGGACGTGATGCGTTTACGTTTGCGTTTGGAATGAATAGAAGAAGAAGAAGAACCGGGTGGTTGACATGAGGAGTGACCATATGGCTGAAATGTGAATCATCAGTAAAAAAGCAGTCATTATTTTGGCCTAATGATCCTGCACAACATCTTTGTCTCATTCATCACACACCCACCCAGCAGGGTTTGCATGACCTACATTGTCTTGCGTGTGTGTGTGTGTGTGTGTGCGTAACACAAAAGTGGAGCACATTTGTCTAAAAAGTCTTGACTTTACTGTGTCAGGACCACGTGGACCTGCCCGAGCACTCCTTCAAGACGGGGATGAAGCTGGAGATGGTTTCTCCGTGGGAGCGGCTACAGATCTGCCCCGTTTCTGTCACCAAGGTGAGTCACGCCAAAAACAACAAGGAAACTCTCTTCCTCCCTCTCGCATTCATCCTTTCAGATGACGGTAGCCTTGTTTTTCAGGTTTCACCTTGAGGGTTTTATCTAATATGTGTCCCTCTCATGCCGACTTCTGTTTTATCACAAAGAAATATCATTATTTTTGCATGCGAGTTATGCGTGTTGCATTTCAAGTAGACTCGCTGTATGACATCCTCTCTTTTCTGGAATAAAGCTGCTAATAGTCAATATTTTTTGTTAAATATTTTTAAAGATACAAAGATAGCAACCGTAAAAAATATTTCCAGCTAACTAATGACGTTTTGAAAGATTGTGACATTCAGCTTTTTGACATACTAGTAGATAATGTAGGGAGTTTTAGGTGATAATATGTACTATATCAAAATATGGAAGCGTAAATGTGCCAGAATAATTCTTTAAAAAACTGTTTTGGAAATCGTGCAACTTGAAATTTCCTTTTTGAATTTTCCAAGAAAAGTTCAAAACATGTTTTCCTGAAGTACATTAATGCTATAAATATCATTCATTAATATTAACATTTGAATATTAAGTATTTAATAATGTTTAAAACTATTATTTATCAGTTTTATGACCCGTGTTTACTTCCATACCAGACTTAAAAGGGCCCTCAAACTATTTCAGGTCTAAATTAATGCAGCAGAAGCTGAGACATCTTAAAATTCTGGATCCTACATTTCCCAAGATGCACCTCAATAGCATCTTTCCTGCATTTATATTCTCCAAACCCAAGCAAGTGCCCTTTAACAACAACAAAAAAGAAGATGTAGACTAAAAAAAACAAACGTATTTTTGCATTTCTTATTAAAGTGAAAGATGTTTAAAGTTCCTCCGCTCACTTGTCCCTCTTCAGGTCTACAATGAGATCTACGTCCAGGTAACGCTGGACGATCTGTCCGTTGACGCCAAGCCGCGGTTCGTGGTGTGTCACGCCAACTCGCCCGGCATCCTGCCCGTCCAGTGGAGTCTGAAGAACGGCGTGGGTCTGGAGCGGCCCCGGGGCTTCGAGGGCCAGGACTTCGACTGGGCCGACTACCTGAAGCAGGGAGGCACGGAGGCGGCCCCCGACGCCTGCTTCCCCGATGTAAGTCTGGACCGATCGGACGCCATTTTTAAACAGGAAGTCCTGATTTAATTTGGCTCGGCCTGATAATTAGAGTTGGCGTTTAGATTAAGAATTTTCTAAAATGTTTGGAGATTGTTTGACTAATATGTTGCAGAATTAAAAGGTCCTGCACACACACACACACACACACACATACTGTACAATAGTATACAACATCATTTACAAGAGCATATCTTAAAGTCTCAGTCCAGGTTTAGGTTATCTAAGATTAGATCATTTTCCTAAATGTAAAATAAACTGTAGCCCTGTCTCCTCCTTCTGTGTGTGTGTGTGTGTGTGTGTGTGTGTGTGTGTGTGTGTGTGTGTGTGTTCAGACATGGCAGAACAGGGACTTTGCCAAGGACATGTGGTTGGAGGCGGTGAACCCTCACCGGCCAGCAGAGGTGTGTGTGGCTCAGATCACACAGGTCAGAGGACGCATGCTGTGGCTCCGACTGGAAGGTACAGACGTGTGTGTGTGTGTGTGTGTGTGGGGAGGATTAAGTGTCGGAGGATTAAGTGTCGGAGGACTCCTGCTGTGCCTCAATAAGACGGTGTGTGTGTTTGCGTGTGACAGCTCCCTCACCCCTCCCCCCTCTCTCCCTCTTGGCTGTCTGCCGGTCTACAGGTGTGGTGAAGCCCCTGTCAGAGTGCATCGTGGACGTGGAGTCCATGGACATCTTCCCTGTCGGCTGGTGTGAGACCAACGCTTACCCTTTGACCCCTCCGCTCAAACCTGTCTGTATGTTCACGCGCACACACACACACACACACACTCACAAAATGCACACATATTTTACTTTGGGAGTGGCAGCTGAATGCAGACTCTCCTTTTCTGCAGGCCAGAAGCAGAAGCAGATAGCGGTGGTCCAGCCAGAGAAACAGTAAGAAAAGACATTTGTCCATCAGAACTTATCATGTGGGGGTTAACTACGACTTCTCTTATTGGACGATGTATTGTCTTGAGCTCTGTTGACTGAAATGTCTGCGCAATGTCCCAGAATTATGATGGAAGGGAAAACGTCTGCTGTCTGTTCTGTCATCATGGTGGCCTAAATGTTGGTGACGTTCTTAAGTAAACAAACAGACATGTAAACACAACTGGTCATATCGAGGTCATGTCCATGTATCGTACGATGAGTCGATTACGTAAAAACTATTGAGATCATGTCCATATATCCATGATAAATGGTTATAAATGTCTCATATTCTAACAACTATGATGCCTATAATTAACAAATATAGTCTTATTAACACATAATAAGCATCTTAAAAGGGCCTTACTACTTATTTGCTTATTACAAGGACCTTAATATGAAGCTTTACCGTGTTGTTTTTCTTGTACGTACATTCGACATTGATTCAAACTGCTGCTCGATGTGTTTTCAAGTGTTAAACGACAGTTGAATTGAAACATTATCCGCATGCATCCATCAAACCGCGGCCGTCGTCTGCTTCCCTTCAGTGTGGCGGAAAAATGATTTCCTTCACAGCCTTTTGTTTTTCCATCTTTTTCTACCTGTGAGCCAAAATAAAAGTACAGGTTCCTTCAGAAAAACCCTCGAGGCGTCTCTCCCTCTCCGTCACTCCAAAGACATTAATTGAAACAGCGGATCTATTTTTTCTTCTTTAGAGCAGAAATTACTTTCCCGGAGCGCTGATTGATTTTGTTGACAAATGACATGTTACACCGTCGGCTGGCAAACGCAGCCCGGGGAGTACGAGGAGAGCGAGCGGGAGAAATATGAGGTCTTCAGCAGCACTTTGTCAGCTCTCTCATCTCACCATTAATTCCATTTCTCACCTTCAGGGGAATCTTTCATCAATACTACCCCCCCCCCCCCGCTGCTTTCCAACCCACCTGCTTCCAAACCTGACAGAAACTGTCGTAGCTGTTGCTGAGACTGATCGTTTGATTGCTCTGTTGTTTCCCGTCTGATTGGATCAGTCGGATCGTTTCCTATTGATTGGTTCGACTGTATTGATTGGTGGCTTCTCCCGCAGGTTGGCTCCGCTCCAGCCGGTGGAGGCGACTCCCGTCAACCTCTGCCTGCCCGTCGCCATGGATCCAGGTAATCAACCGCCGCGTTTACACGTGATTTATCTCCGGTAATTAATGTTAATGAGCTGCTGTGATGAGAGTTGAGGGGGAAACCCCCGCTCTTCAGATACTCCTACGCTCGTAAAACTCCACTTCTTCAGCCTCAGTATTCAGTTGGTTTCTTCGTGAGACTGTAAACATTGTTCGCTGCATTTATCTGTTGAAATCATGGCTTTCGGTCTTCATTCAGGTGCGATAGAAAATGTATAATTTGGCAAAAGTGAGCCGAGTTTGTATCAAGAAAGAATCATTTCTTTTTGTTCTCTCACAAGCTGCACCATCGAAAGATTTTAAATGTGTTTTGCCGTTGAAGACAGAGAATCCTCATCAATTTCAACATTTATTAGTCGGGACCGACATTTAATTCCTATTTGCTCACGTCATAAATAAAACACTGGATATTCATGTTTTCATACACGCAGCTGGCATGAATCTGGATATTATTCAGATTTGGTTGATGAATACATGAAGTCATGTTTCAAGTGTCAATACTACTGTCAATAGGATCAATACACCTCAATGCAAGAGGCATGAAAGGTAGAAACATCGTCTTCAGTTATTCAGTGTTTCCTGAAACCAATTTTCTTTCTTTGTGCACTGAAGACAATAATAATTAAGTGAAGATTATTAGTGTTCCTAAAAAGAGACGAGTATTTTCTCCCTCTCTGTATTTTACCCTCGGCTGTTAAACGTTTTTAAACGAACCTGACGGCATTCAATCCAAACTTTCAGTAAGACTGCCATTGTGACTTTTCAGTGCTGAGACTGACATGGAGAGGAGAGGAGAGGAGAGGAAGGGAGACAGACAGAAGGAAAGGAGAGGGAGAGAAAGAAAGGGGAGGAAAGGAAACAAAAGGAAGGGAGAGAAAATGAAAGAAGAGGGAAGTAAAGGATAAGAAAGGGAATGAAGGGAGAACGTGTCAAGTGTGGAAGTGTACGAGAAATATTATAATTATAAGAATTACATTGTGACTTTTTCACGCAAACTTTTCAGCGTTAAGACTCTCATGGAAAGGAAAGGAAAGGAAAGGAAAGGGGAGGGAAGGAAAGGAAGGTTGAAAGAAAGGAAACAGGTTTGAGTGTGCCTTTTGGACACCAGCCAAAGTTAAACTGTCGTCTACAAGTAGTCAATGGAAGTGATCGTGACATCGTAGTACGTTCTCTCAGCGGAGGAGAAGCCACACTGGTGACAAAATAATGTTATTAAAGTCAGGTCAGGTCAGTTTGTTTGGGAAACGGTGGGTAGTTTGTACACTGGGATTCACAACGTGCTTTACACAGTAAAAAAGTGCAGAAATAAGACAAATGACTCAATTAACAGCAACGCATTCTGACATTTGTAAAAGTGGTCTGAAGCCAGAGAAAGTAACCTTTACTCCTGAACACAAAGACCAGCTGCAACAAGATGCAGCTTGTGGCTACAGTTTGAACTTTGTCCTATTGAGCCTCATTTCCTCTCCAGCGAAGGTTTTCTTTTCTTTCTCTCACAAAACAATATACTGCAAAAATAAACACAAATGAAGATTTATTTCCTCATTGAATTGTGCTGAAAAAGGAAATCCTCGTTTAATGCATTAGAGGGCAGAAACATTGTAGCTGCACTCAAACTGTTATGACTGCGTTCGGCCTTTTATCAGCGGGAACCAGAGAAAAACACCCACAGACCAAAACAAAGAGCCTGTGTTAACGTGTGTGAAAGTCTCTCCTTATCTGTCTTATTTTTGGAGTTTTGTCCAGTTTTCTGTTTTACGACTACATCCCGCAGGATTTAAATAAGCTTTCAGGTTAAACCATTTATTTGGAAGTAAGAAATAAATGTACATGTTGACATTTTTACCTGTAAACGTAAAGTACACATAAATGTGTCGAAAATTAGAAGATAAAAGAAAACAAAAAGCCAAAGTTTAGAAAACAAGGTCCAGGTAGAAAATGCTAAAGGAGACCAAGCAAAGGAGCATTTCTTCTCTTTCTCGATGCGTTTGTTGACTAAACAGAGATGCTGTTGTGCATGTAAACAACATGCATGTCTGAACACAAAGAGAGCGGTGGGCTCTGTTGTTTCCACGAGACCCTTGCCCTCTTTTTCCAAGTTTCCCTGTTTTAAAAACCACCCACTCGCTCATGAATATTCATCCCCTCACCTAATTACTATTCTCCCTGGCGGTGCGGTTCCAGGTGCCGGCGGTGGTCGAGGGCTGCAGGAAGGGCGGAGTGCAGATTTGTCCTGTCGACCCTCATTTACCTCCGGGGGGGTTGTGATGAACAGGACGTGCTCTCGGACTCTGCATTAAGAGTCTCATACGTCTGATATACAAGCACATAACATACCAACAACCAAACAGGCAGCTTCGTATGCAGCAAAATAGCTTTAAAAGAACAACGCCGGCACAAAGACCAGCTTCTTACACGAACACACAAGTTTATACCTAATCTACAGAATTGCTTCAATTCGCGTCAACGTCTTCAATCAAAGATTACGATCAAGAGTTTAATTAAGCTCTAACTTAGAGGATTCAAAGTAGTGATGATTAATTCCTTAGAAAAGTTTGCATTGTGCTTTTATTTGTTGTATGTGATATGTAGGTAAAGGGATTTTTTTTGACGTAAGCCAAGTTTACGTGCCTGATATTGAGTTCCACGTTGGTTAACGCTCCAGTTTATGTTCCTCTATCTCAGGCTCAGCCAATGGCAGATACTGCTGCTCCAAGATCTTTGTCAACCACCGCTGTTTCTCAGGACCCTACCTCAACAAGGGACGCATCGCGGAGCTGCCGCAGTCTGTCGGGCCCGGGAAATGCACGCTGGTCCTCAAAGAGGTGGGCTGATGTCAGAAGCAGGGGGTGGGGGGGCGCCAGAGATTGAGAATGGGGGAGACGGGGGGGGAGACAGCGCTGTCTTGTTAGCCACCTGCAGTTTCCCAGCAGTGCCTTCATGTTGACGTGAGGAGCTGTCAGTCAAGTGTGTTTACACGTACACACCACTCAGCAGAAACAGCCTCCTAATTTCTCCAGAGACTTTGTGTGTGTGTGTGTGTGTGTGTGTGCGAGTCCGTGATTTGTAGACGACTGTGATCTGCGTTTGTCCTCCCATCATGTTTGTGTGTTATTTTAGAATTGTTGAACCAGGACTAGTTGTGTTTTTCTTAAATCTGCGCTCGCTGCCTGCAGCTGCTGAGCATGCTGATCAACGCCGCCTACAAGCCTGGACGAGTCCTGAAGGAGCTGCAGGAGCTGGAGGATCAGAGCTGGGACTGCCAGGAGGAGACCCTCAAAGCCAAGTGAGGAAAAAAAAACTGAGAGAACGTTCAGCGAAATAGGATAATTCAATTCAATATATTTTGTATAAATCTGCCTCAGAGGGCTTTACAATCTGTACAACGTACGACATCCGCACAAGAAAAACTCCCCGAAGAAACCCTGAGGGAGAGCGACAGAGGAGAGATCCCTCTGGGTGGACAGAAGTGTGATCAAGGTCATGTTTATAACACAACAGAGCTACAACACATTCAATGAATACGACATAAATGATTCATATAATGAGAGTAGTATGATGGAAATAGTACGACTACTAATAATAACTACTAATAATGTTCTCATTTACAATGACGACCTGGCCATTATTAATAACAATAACCATAATAATGGATCAGATCCACCCCCGTGTGATTGGGTCATTTTCTAGATGAATTCGTAGGATTCCATGTTCTTATGAGCACATCCTGGTGTCCGTTCTGCTCTCCTCTCTTGAATTTTGAATGCATCTTTTTGTTACCGCAGTGGTTTCTGTGAGGTCTGCATTTTTCCTCCACTGCACAGAGCCAAATTATTCCACAGCTCCAGGCGGCGTGCTCTGTCTGTGTTTTCGACAGAGCCCTTCTTTTTTTTTATTTTTATTTTTTTATATCTGGCTGAAACGAGAAAGCGCCGGCCGGTCACAGGGTCTGGTGAGTCACCTGCGTCGGGGCAGCGGAGCACAGTGATCACAGTCGTGCACGCCTGTTTTGACAACTCAACAAAAAGGAGTTACTTTTAATTTCTCTGGGACATTTCACCAAAGAGGGGACCAGTTAGCAGCTCTGGTCACACGGCGGGTCGGTTATCACAGGAGGAAAATGAGTTCTTGGGCCGACTTAAAATACATTACAATGTTTATCCGAAGCTAATTAGAAGTCTGAGTTCGTCAGATCAAGTGGTGAACATCCAGCGTTACTATCCCTCCTTTAGGTACTTTATTTGACTAAAGTCTCGTACTAGCTTCAGATAACAGCTGTGGATTTCGTCCCGCATCACATAGAGCTGAAGCGCTTTAGAAAGTGTGAGCAGGAGGAACGAGTCCAGCACATGACTATTGCTTCAGGAAAGACTTGTGAACCTATCCTTTAATGCTGGTTGTAATAATAACATTATATATATATATATATTAAACCAGGAATCTGTCTAAATCTGTATGTACTCACAAGAGAAAAAGCTATTTGAAATATTTGGTGACCTTTAATCTATCATGAAATATTCCTCTTTAATGATGAAATGTCTTCAGTTTATTGTTTTCAACGGATTAAAGGAAGCTTGTTTTGCTTTATTCAATCTCTTACTTTACTAATGAAACCTAAAAACAAACAAAGAGCAGAGAGTCTGTAGTCTGTAGATATAATCTCAGATTTAAGTCGCATCCGATTGCAGGTCAGATTTGTCCTCGAGCGCTGCCAACAGGTCAGCTCATCCTCCATAACCTTCGCCATTAAGACGGCAGATTACGGAATCGACCCCGCGTCGCTCTGCTGATTAATCCTCATCAACCGGACGAGCCGAATTCACTGAAACGGCCCACTTTCACATCATAACCGCGCGGGCAATCATCGTGGAGTGCTTTGATGGATTACAGTTTCATTACGCATTGTTCTCATGAATAAAAGTCTAATCACCGACTGACTGTCTCTTCTTCTTCTTCCTCCTCCTCCCCCCAGATATAAAGGGAAAACCTATCGCTCCACCATCCGGATAGTCCGCCTCGCAGACCAGATCCCAGACTTCTGCCGCAAGGTGTGCGTGAAGCTGCAGTGCTGCTCGAACCTCTTCAGCCCCGTCCTCGTCACCGACAAGTGCCCGGAGAACTGCTCCGTTCAGACCAAAACCAAATACAGTGAGTCCCCGTAATTAGACGCATCACTTCCTGCGCAACAGCTATGGAGGAGACCCCAAATTGTGACGCCGCACGAGTGTGTGATTGCCTCTGATGAGTAGCTATGAATTTGTTTGGGGGGAGTTTATCTTTGTCAACATCTGCTGTGTGCGTCCGCAGCTTATTACTATGGGAAGAAGAGGAAGCTGTCCAAGCCGATGGCAGGAGAGGAGGAGGCGGCGGAGGGAGACCTGGCCAAGCCGACGCGCCGCAGGAAGAAGAGGAAAGCCATCTTTGTGCAGAAGAAGAGACGCTCGTCCGCCGTCGACTACACGCCCGCCGGCTCACCGCAGGTTAGAGAACACGCCTCTTCCTCCCTGACAGTCATAGTCCAGGGTTTAACTATAAACGCCCCGACATGTGACGGCAAGAAGAGGAGCTTTTATTTTATTTTACACCAGGCCCTCGGTTTTGGTTTTATGTCGTACAAAGTAAAAAATGTTCCTAACTCTGTGATGAGTTATTGTTTCGTGGGTGTTTTTATATGTTTTTTACGACTAACATTTGGAGTGTTTACTGGTCAGACCGGTTTGCAGCTGGTGTTGGTCACCAGCGTAATTAAATGACGTGATTGAGCCGAGTCGGGCATTTTATCAATTCATTGTTGGATCCATCGGCAGCTCTTTTGATAATGGATTAATAATTTGAGTACATTTTCAAGCAGAATTGCTAAAGATTAGTTTGTATCCGCTTCTCAAATGTTCACTTTTTTCTCTCCTTCGTATCATTCAAACTTAATAACTTGAGGTTGTGGGTTGTTGATTCGACAAAACAAGACTCAAACATTTAAAGACACCATCTGGAGCTGTTGGAAACTGAGATGGGCATTTTATTGGATTTAATTGTCGCCTAATTATTTTGTTCGACCAACAGTCCAAAACCCAAACGTTATAAAAATGAGTAAAAGCCTCCCAAATAAGAAGCTGGAACAAAGTCATGTTTTGGTTTTATGGACTTTTATTGAATTCAAAACGAGTTTGAAATGATTTTAATGAATCCATATCAAATGTATTGAGGTTCAGCTTTCATCGATTTTGAATAACAAGAGTTATGATGAACAACAGAAACACTTTGATGACTGGTATCATCTAGTTTACATGTAAAGTGTATCTAAAAATGAAGATCCATTTAAATCGGTTGATGAAGTGAATACAAATCAGCGTGAAAATGATGTCTGCAGGATTGATGATATTTTAGAAGCTCAGAACAACTGAAGTACATGAAACAAAGAGTTTTAAAAACCTTACGATTGGTTTTAAGTGATTTCTAGAGCAGCAGTGTGAGCGGCGTTCTGAGGTCTCGTCTCTGAGCCATTCTTCCTCCCTCAGGACAGTGAGGAGGACGAAGAGATGGCATTGCAGTCGGGCAGCGAAGGCACCAGCTCGGAGCCCCGCGAGGACCACACCGACGCCTCCTCGGTGGAGGTGACCAGCAGCCGGCCTCGCCGGGCCGCGACGCTGCGCAGGACCTTCGGCGCCGGCAACGCGGCGGGCAGCCAGGAGGCCGCCGAGAGCCGCAGGAGGTCGACCCGCTCGCTGTCGGCTCACAACCAGAACAACAAGTACCAGCCGCCCAAAGGACAAGACATGCAGGTGCAGACAGACTGACGGAGGTTCCCGTCCAGATTTAGACTGAATTAGTTGAGCGATGAACAAATAAATGTGTTTGTGATTCTGTAATTGACAGTTGAGTGTGTTTTGTGTGTGTGTGTGTGTGTGTGTGTGTGTGTGTGTGTGTGTGTGTCAGGTGGAGGAGGAGGAGGAGGGTCAGCTGGTTTTGGACAGTAATCCTCTGGAGTGGAGCGTAGACGAAGTCGTTCAGTTTATAAACTCTACTGACTGTGCGTCCCTCGCCAACATCTTCCAGGAGCAGGTACACACACACACACACACACACACACACACACACACACACACGCACGCTCAACCAATATTTGTATTTTATTACAGCACCAGATATCAGGAGGAGTGTTTGATTAGATATTTATTCGGCTCATGACGTCCAATGAGCCTGACAACATGGTTCATTATTTTAGGTTTGTTTGAAGATAAATTAAACTTGGTTGATTATTTTTTTATGATTTGCTCGGCTGCACTAAAGAGCGAGAGGATCTAGTTTTCTATTCACTGTATAAATAGCATCTTTTTGCAGCATGAACTACAAAAACCATCTTTCTCTAGAAACAATCGGTGGTAAAGAACGACGTGGTAAAGAGTGAAACGCACGCCTGTCGGCCAGTTTAAGTGCCAGAGTGGAACCGTTCTGCGTTGAAACGTTTGTGTGCGTCTCTTCCTGTGCAGGACATCGACGGTCAGGCCCTGCTGCTGCTCACGCTGCCCACCGTACAGGAGTGCATGGACCTGAAGCTCGGGCCCGCCATCAAGCTGTGTCACCAGATAGAGCGCGTCAAGGTGGCCTTTTACAGACAGTACGCCAACTGAACCAGACGAAGAACCGCGGGGGTCCCGCTGGATTAGCTGCCTCCTGGTGGAGAGTTTTCTTTCGGGCAATGTGGAGTTCTTTTTTACGTGCAAGAAGAAGGGATATTTTTCTGGAGCGGTTGAGGTTGAAAAAAGCACAAACTGAGGAGACGGTTTCCTTTACGAGATGTTGAAGGATTCATTTCTGGGATAATGTGATGCAGCACTCCGGCAGAACAGAAACACATTGGAGTCGACCCGTGAAGGAGTTATCACGAGGAAAGCCGACTTTTGTGTTTCTTACTTTTCATTTCCATTTAATTTGTGATAGAGGAGCATTATAGCATTTAATTATTGACCATAAAGAGTTTTTCCCTTTTTGTGTGACATTATTGGTTCTGGAAAAATATATTTGAAAGTATTTAACAAACCAAGAAGTAATATATTTGAAATATTTATTGTTTATGAGGAGTAATCTCTTTGGATTCAGAATATAATTGATCAGTTATACAATAATGTCAACAATAACTGTTTTTGTCTGCTGAAACAATCCCCGAAAAGATAAACAGGATGTGCATTTATTGAGATTTACACATTTTGTGTTGATGGAGGAAGAAGACGTCCTCTGAAGTACTTTGTGTTGTGTCGCTCACTTCTCATCGATACAATCATCGAAGCTATTTTGTGTCCATCTATGCAAACGTGTTGCAGATATTTTTGATAAGTGAGAAAATAAATTTCTATTGGTTTTTTAACTGTTTGGTACGAATTTTCTTTCACAATTGTTACTAGGACATCGATTGCGAACGCACAATGTGTTTTACAGGATCACTAAAGCAAAAGTCCCTCAGATTATATTTAAGATAACATTTCTGCTGAGCTAGTAATAGTTTAGGACATTTTATTGGCTTATTAAGAGTAATTACTTTGAACCATTTCAAGCAAATAACCGCGCGACTAACTTTAGAAACCCGTTTCTGCATTTGTGAAGCCGCAGTTGTGACGAGGAGGATGAAGGGTTAACAGATGCCCTCTTAATTGAGATTATGGGAAGTCAGAACTGTCTGTGGTTAACAGAACAAACTAACTGTGATGCACAAAGTCACAGATGAAGAGGAACCTCACTCCTGCAGTCAAACACCAACTCATTTAGACGTTACAACTGAATCATTAACTGATGGAGTGTGAGTATTGTCATTACAGTATGTAGCATTGCATTGGACTTAAAAGTTACTGTGTGGTACCGGAACCAGGACTGAGCGAGTCAGACCAACGGACCCTGCTGCAGCTCAACCAGAGGTTTTCTAAAGGGACTCTGGTTCTTGGAAACACTACCGCTTTTGTCCACAGGGGCCGCCAAAATCAACACAACATGAAAGTTCCTCACGGTAACTTTAAGAAAATATGTATAAGACATAAAACTGCTTTTAGAGACTATTGTAATAAATGGTTGTTTAGGTAATAAGAGTGGTGCTGTAGGCTAAAACTGATTCTCAACCAGGAAGTAATTCTGCAGTTGTTAAAAGTAATGGATAAATGGTTGCAGTAGTTAGTTAAAATGTAATCGATGATATTGTGGCAGTAGAAGTAAAATTGCCCACTTACGTAAACATTGAAAGTTTAATTGTATGACAATATCAATATGACAAATATTATGACAATATGACAGTTTAAAATCAATTGAAATGAAAACATGGTGTCAATGAACGGGTACTTGAGTTCATCTCACAGGGCTGTAACATAGCTACTGACTAATATGCAGGTGGAACAAAACCCTTACTCATAAAACAATTATGGTTTTGAGACGTAAATAAACAAATAATTGGTGTTATGTACTTAATGTACTTTTCTTAACTTATTCTGCGGCACCAGAATAAACAGGCAGCCTTGATAGACACTAATGTATTCCACAAAAACCAGACGGAGCAATTACACATGAAATGAGACGAAGCAAAAAGCCACCGAGAGCAGAAACAGGAGATTTGAGGTGTGTGAACAAAAGCTGCAATTTATCTCCTCCCCTTGAAATTAGAAATGTCTTTTCATTCAAAGAGTATCGACGCGAGCTCTCAGAAATCCTTCACTCAAAAGACACTTACGAGTATATTTAGGGTTAGTCATGTTTATTTACGCTTGTATTTAAACAGGGTTGGTTGGCTGAGCAGATGTGCTTTTACAGCGACACCCTGTTAAATAAACAGAATAACGAAACAAGACGGAGAACAAACAGAACGGAACGATAAAAGAAAAGCAGTTACAGGAATGAGGAGATTGCAGATTATTCCACCACACCAGTGTGCTAACAGTAAAATCGTTTTTTACTAAACTATTTTTCAACCAAATAATCCCGACTCAAGGTCTACTTACTAGCTTTTCTTTCCAGAGCTTTCAAGTCTTTTTGATTATTTCTTAAACTACTATTTTCAGGTTAAGAATCACTCTTTGGTTTGAGGTTCCTATTGTTATTGTTTTATGCAACTATTTGTTATTTAATTAAGGTGATACAAAATCTGAATCTTTTTCTTTCTTATCTTTATTCTAAGAAATGTAAAAACGTTTTTCCATTTAACAAAGAATATAAAGTTCTCAAATGTTGGATTTCGTCTCAAAAGCAGACTTTTGCCAAAACAAAATAGTCTAAAACTGCCAAAATATTTGATTAAAATGAGTAACTAGTTGATTTATATCAAAGAAGCCGAACCTCTCAGCCTGAATATAAACAGATGATGAATCTTACTAGAAATCTGATGCCTGCTTTTGATAAAGACACACTTCAGTTGGCATCAAAGTGCATTGAGGTTTGATCTCCAAGCAGTTTAAGTAAATCCATACTGCTTTGAGGTTGGATGGACGTAAAACAATCCTCTATTTCAAATGAAATTATGATCATTTTGTATGCATGTATTTTTATTCTTTCCCCTTCCATAAAATAACAGGTTTGAGTATTTCTAACATCTCCCTCACACAACAACATGCTCATCTTTTTAGGAGCGCTCTCAGAGCAAAATTGCAAAAAGAAAATGAAATGATGGCAGTGGACGTGACAGGCTCCGGTTCATCAAACAAAGTGAAATGGAAAAAGAAAACCCGTCAGCGGCAACATGAAAACTCTACCGACGAGACGACGGCGCCATTAGGACGCTGTTGTGTTTGCAGAACGGCTTCTGGTGGCAAAATAGAAGAAATCACCCCTTCGACGCGGCCGCGACGGCTGTTTCGTGTCGCTACATAATTGGCGGTAATGCCGCGTTAAGTCATGCGTGCGGCACGTGGCCCTCTTTGTTGATTCACTTACACCGTTTGCTGTGTGACATTAGCCGACGGAAATTCATAAAGGCGGTGATTCACATTCAGAGTGTATTCGGCAGTGAGATGTGTCGTGCCTCACCAGCTCTCTGTACTGGTGCAGCTGAATTCAGTTAATAGCTTTCTCTCTCTCTCTCTCTCTCTCACACACACACACACAAACACACACACACACGAACTCTAACACTTTGTATTGAGTCACTCTGAAAAAGCTGCTACCTTATACTGTTGCTTGGCAACCTCATCATCAAACGTCCGCTTTGCATGATTTCTGCCGTGTTGTTTGTGGATTCAGAATAAGTCCCGACAGCAGAGGAGTAAACAGATGTTTGTGGTATTAAAAGAGAAGCCCTGAACCACAGCAGACGGGCTCTTTATGTTTCATATTCAGCTTGCTGTGGGTTTCAGACAACACTGACTCAGGTGTCATGTCGTCTGACTGATCGATCAAAAGCTCGTCTTTGTCTTTGTCAGAAGGAACGGTCCGTCGCTGAAATGCAGCTCGGCTGATATTTGCCATTTCAGACAACTTGACATCAGCAATTCTGTGCAGCACAACACTTTGACACAGAGCACCGTGCAGCCGACATATTTTAACATTCAGCGTATGTCGGCAGATAAACAACAAGAAAGTCCAAAATGACGAGAAAGTTTGGCTTCCAGAAACACAAAGTGTTTAGTCTTTGGCATCATATGAACATATTAATACAGTAATGAGCATAATAGTTCACTCTGCATCTTGGAAACAGCAGCTTGTAACACATCTAAAGTGGAAACTTTTCCCCCACTAGTGTTTCCAAATGGTATTACCGTTGATAGAAAAACAAATGCACTGTAAATCGTGGATATTCCATGAAAGCAAATCGTATGTAATCCACATAATCATTAACCAGGAAGTGTAAAAACTGCAGCAAAGTCAAGCTGGGCAAGAGGTATGGGACTACGTTGATTTTTTGTCACGTGACTTCCGTACTTAAGTAACGCCACTTAGCTATTTTAACCCAAACCACGATCTTTTCAAACACGTAACTAAGTAGTTTTGTTGCCTAAACCTGACCAAGTTATTTCCTGTGAAGACGTAATTTCATCTTGAAAAGACTGCATGCATGTAACGAGCTGAAACTGACACGTGTTGCTGGACTTCCGTAGAAAAACACACAAAAAAATGAGCAATAACTTTTCGCAAGACAATATATGAATCGTTGCACAAAGACAACTGGATCGCTTTCCATTTTCCTCAGAGCCCAACAAATACCAGACACACTGTGATTTTCCACCGGCTACTCTTCCGGGGATAGTAACGGAAAAACTTCGGTAACTGGGGATAGCTACCGATAGCAACCGGGAAAAACAAAAGCGCTATCCTCTTCCTGGTTCCAGGTTGACGCACTACCATTGTAGCGTAAATAGATCGTAGACAGAGTAAAAGCGAGGCTTAGGGAACCAATCTAAATGCTGGTTTTATTATATCGTATTCATTATATTTTACAATCATCATCTACTTCATAATGATAAGTTAGAGGTAATGCAAGTGAGACTTTGTCTATTCTCTTCACGGTGAAACACGAACAGAATTACAAAACCTTCTACACAAACACTACACGCTCACTAGCTTTCACCCACATCTCATGGTCTTTATCAGCGGATGAAGTTTGCTCAGCTGACACATGACCTCAGTATGGAAGTTCAGTTTCTTGATGAACACATGGTCGTATATACGAGGGGAGTTCATAACCTCCGGCTCTGGTCAAAGGTAATATTTGGCGACAATGACGACCGAGGAACGCGTAAAATGTGGACGAAAGCTCCAGTAGAAAAGCGAGTAAGTAGATTTATCACAAAGAGTAAAGTGTTGCATGTAGTCTGTTTATTCTTTAACCTTTTAGTAAGATAAGATAATATAGAACTTCATTAATCCTGAAGAGATTGAAGAAGAAGAAGAAGAAGAAGAAGAAGAAAAACACACGCAGTCAAAATGTAAACGTATATAAACAATATAGTAATAAATATAAAGTGTATAAGAAGCAATATTGACACCAGTGCAAAATAAAAGTACGATAAATTGAGCAAAATAATTCAACTGAAATGGAAAGAGAAAATACAACATTGGAAAGAAAGCAAGAACAATGATATGAAGTGTATAAGACGTAAAACGGACAGCGTTGTGTTCCTGCACATTTATCAGAGTTACTGATTCCTAATGGAGATCTATTGTGAAATTCTATTGAATCTAAAATAGAGAAACCACTAAATCATGAAGCCAAATGTCAAGGCCGTTCAGCAGAGACCAAGAATGCAATGACCAGAATGCAAAGCAGTCGGAGGACATGTTGTGGAATGTATGACACAGTTAACTGGAAAAATATTTCTCCTTCCTCCTACAGACTGAACCCACAGCAGAGTGGAACAAACTGTCTGTCTGTGGGCTAGCAGAGGGACTCTGGATAAT